GCTGCTGCCGGGATCCCCACTCCTAATGGTGTCGGGGAGGGGGGGGTGTCACACTCCATCAATGCTGAGTCACTCCTGGGTACCACCTGGTGCTGCATCCCGCCCCCCCACCGGGATGTTCCCCCACGGCAGGTGAAGCTCCCCAGAACCCAGGGCAGCAGGTCTCTCCCCTCGTCCCTCCCCGCACGGGCGGTGAGTCCCCCCTAAAGCCCCTCGGGACCCCCACCCACTCAGGAAGCAGCGGGGCTGCAGGTGTCGTGCCGCTCCCCCCCTCCCCACGGCGAGTGGGCGGGGCGAGGGGCCGAGCCGAGCGGAGCCGGGGGGGCCGAGGGAGGACCGAGGGGAGTCGAACTCACCGGTGTCCCCCGGCTCGTCCCGCCGCCGCCGCCAGTACCAGACCAGGGCGAGGGATGCTGCGTGTCCCGCCGCCACCAGCGACGGGAACAGGGACCCGGTGTCCTCCATGCGGGACACGGGACGGGCTCGGAACCGGCCGGGCTCGGCGGGGCAGGGACGGACCAGCGCCCGCCCCCCCGGGGCAGCGCCCGCTCCGCCTTAACCCCTCCCGGGCCGCGGCGCGGAGACGCCTCCTGCCCGCCGCACCGGCACGGCCCCCCCGTGTTCCCCCCCTGCCGTGTCCCCCCCCGCGTCGTGTTCCCCCCATCCCGGCTTTTTATATCCCGGGACAAGCGCCCCGGCGGCGCCAGCCCCCCTGTCCCTGTCCTTTCCGCAGCCCCCCCGGTCTCACCCACCCGGTACGACCTTCATGGACAAGGCAGGGTGCGGGCAGGTGCGAGCAGGGTGCGGGCAGGTGCGGAGCGCGGAGCGAGGGCACAGCGCGGCTCCGCCGGTGGCGGTGGGGGCGGGGGGGGGCGGGCAGGGAGCGGGCGCCGATATAAATAACCGGGGCCCGTCACCGAGCCCGAGTTAGAACATGACACGGGTGGGGGCGGGACGGGGCGGCCGCGGTGGCACCTCGGGACCCCCGGACCCCCCAGCACCGGTGGGGGGGTCACGCTACCGCCACCTCGGGAGGCGTCGTGACACCGGGACCGAGGGCCCCGGCACGGCCCCGCCGCCGAAGGAGGCCGGCTCTCCGGACCGGGGAGAAAAAGGGGGTGCTGGAGGGGCACCGGCATCCGCTCCGCCCCGCGGGGACCCCGCAGCCCCCCGCCGCCGCGACCCCGTCCCCGCCAGCCGGTAATCCAGGCCGGATTTTCCGGCAGCGCCTCGTCGGGCGGAGAGAAAACCCGGATCCGGATCAGCTGGCACGGCGGGACTGGACGGGACGGCCGGGGCTCCGGGATCGCGCCCCACGCGGGGGTCGGGCAGCGACCGCAGCCTCGGAGCCCGGCGCGGGGTGCGACCCACGGGACAGAGCTCGGGGGAACTCCTCTGTCCCCGCGGGACGTGGGTACTGCCCGCGCAGGACCCGCACCCACGGGGCAGCACCGCGGCGGGCCCGGCCCCCCCGCCGGCCGGTGACTCACGGCGCTGGCAGGGACCGGGCTCGGCGCCTCTGGGCTGGAAACTTGGACCGGCGGCGGCTGCCCACGGCCACGGGCTGACTCACAGCCCGGAGGGGTGCGGGGGGGCCCTCACCACCGCCTCGGGGCGCCGCCGCAGCTGCCCCGCCCGGGGGAGGTGGGACACCGGACGCCCCGCACCCCCGCCGGGTCCAGCTGCCGCCGATCGTGTGTCGGGATCGCGTGTCGCGGGGGAGGCGGTGTTGGGGACACCTTCGCAGTCGCAGCCCCCTCCCCACCAGCCCTGCCCGCCCCAGCTGCCGCCGTCTGTCCGACCCACCCTGGGCACAGCGGGGGCCTTGGAGGCGCAGAGTCCCCACGCACGGCCCCTCACAGCACGGCTCCTTCACAGCACGGCTCCTTCACAGCACGGCCTCCCACAGCTCAGGTTCCCCATGACACTCTCCCCTCCCCACCATGGGGAGCCCGGGAGGACGGCAGCAGTGACACTCCTGCAGCACTCAGGGTCCCTAGCACCCCACCAGCCTCTTGGGGACCCCGGGGAGCCACCTCACTGCACCCTGGTCCCCCCAGCGCCCAGGGACCGCTCCAGCCCACAGGGTCCCCGTGAGCTCAGGGAGGCACAGCGAGGAGCCCCCCAGCACCCTCCTCCCTCCCCAGGCAGCGAGGGGATTGCAGGTGTCCCCCACCCCATCTTTGGTCAGGCACCGGGGGGCTCAGGGGGCTGCAGCCACCCCTGGGAGCAGAGGGGCTCAGGTGCCCCCACCCACGAGAGCACAGGGAGCACCCCAGGGCTCTGGTCGGTACCTGCGGCCGGGCTGGGCTGCGGGGGCAGCTGGGACACCCCCCGCCCTGCAGCGACGGTGACGGGCTCCACGTGCCGCTCGCCCTCGTCCTTCCTGCGGTAGAGCCGGTCGCCGCCGGTGGGACGTACCCGGTGGGTGCCGGTGCCGGTGGTGGCACGGCGGGTGTCGGGGCGTGGGGCGGCGGGGCGCGGGACGCGCTGCAGGGAGCGCGGGACAACGTCGGGCGGCAGGCGCAGGTACTGGCGCAGGTGGGCGATGCCAGCGTCGGTCAGGTACCAGTAGAGGTGTCGCCAGGCGGCCGTTTGGCGCACGAGGCCGCGGGAGTGCAGCGAGGCCATGGCGCGACGAACCTCCACGTTGGCCACGCCGGGCAGCTGTGGGTGGGTGCGCCGGGGGCACCCGTCCCGCTCTCCCACCAGAACGCCCTCACGGAACAGCAGCTCCAGGATGGAGCGGAGCCGCTCCAGCGGCATCAGCATCCCTGCCACCATGGTGCGGGTGGCAAAGCAGAGGGCACCGCACAGGGCACAGGGTACAGGGCTCAGTTACGCCTCACCGCTGCTCAGTATGGTCCGGTGCAGCTCCGTGTGGTACAGCCCAGTACGGTTCAGTACAGTCCAGTATGGCCCAGCACAGCTCAGTACGGCCCAGCCCAGCCCAGCCCAGTATGGTCCAGTACAGTCCAATACAGCTTGGTACGGTCCAGCCCAGCCCAATATGGTCCAGTTCGGCTCGGTATGGCCTGGTACAGCCCGGTACGGTCCAGTACAGCTCAGTATGGCCCGGCACGTCCTGGCGCGATCCGGCACGGCGCGGTGCTGGCTGCCGGCACGGTCGGAACGGCGGCAGCTCCACCCCCGTTCGGGGGGGCCGGGGGGGCCCCAGGCCCAGCCCTGACTCACCACCGGCCCCTCCCCGGCCCCGGCTTCCGCCCGGGGGGGGCACGGCCGGACCCGCCCCCACTTCTCCCCCCCTGCCCCGACCCACCCGGCCGGTTCCTGCGTGGGAACCCCCGCGGCTCCCGCCCCGCCTCCGCCCCGGGACCGGCCCCACGGAGCTCCCGGGGAGACCCCGAGCCGGGGGTGACCCTGAGCCCGGGAGGGGGACCCTGAGGCTGGGGGCAGCCCTCAGCTCGGGGGGAGACCCTGAGCCGGGAGGGGTCTCTGAACTTAGGAGGGGGCACCCTGAGCCCGGAGGATCCCTGAGCCCGGGGGAGAGCCCTAAGCCCGGGGGAGAGCCCTGAGCCGGGGACGTGGCGCCCACGCCCCGCCCGAGCATCGCGCACCGCCGGGCTGCAGGCAGAGCAGCAGGCAGAGCAGCAGGCAGAGCAGCAGGCAGGGGTCGGGCAGGGGGACGGTCAGGTGTATAGGCAGGGGCACAGGCAGGGCTGGGAGGCCACATCCTGCCACGTCGATGTTTGCTCTGCTCCTGCCCCTGTTTATACCGGCGAAGCAGCCCCAGGGGGACCCCACGTCGCCCCCATATCCCCCAGCAGTGACACATCTGTGGTAGTGGCATAGCTGTGCCCCACCACACCCTCCGGGTGGCAGGTGAGGACGAGGCAGCTGCCCCCCACAGCCACCCTCTGAGCCCCCCCGGCAAGGACAGCTGCCCAACACCCTCTCAGTGGCAACTGTCACGGCCTCTAGCACAGCAGTGGGACCCCCAAGCACCGTCGTGGGAAGAGACCGGGCATCGGGGACCCCCCAGGGGCACACCCAGGCTCCGTGTGAGGGGCGGGGTGGGAGTGAGTGCCGGCACTCACACCATGGAGCAGGAGGGACTCTGGGACGAACTGAGGTGCCAGGGATCCCCCCTGTTGGAGGCTGCCCCATGCCAGGGAGATCTCAGCCCCACAGCCCCCAAAAGGGGAGGAACCCCCCCAGGGCTCCCCTGACCCAGCACACTGAGGCTGGGGCACAGGGACAGTGTCCCACAGGGCTGCAGGAGCCCTCTGGCATGGGGGGAAGGGGGATGCTGTGGTCCTTGGGAACACCATCCCCGGCACCTCTCTCCCTGCCGATGGCACTACTAGGAGTGGCAATGGGGTGCACTGGGATTTACTGGTGGGGAGCAGTGACCCGGGCATGGCTCACCCCAGAGCTGGCAGGCCACGGGGACCCCAAACCCACAGATGAGTGATGCAACCGCGCTGGCATCACGGGGTGGGGGCACAAGGACTTGTGCAACTTCCCCATCCCCTGATCTTGGGGGCCAAAGGAAGGTGGGGGAAAAGGCCCCCCGTTGCTGAGGGCCCCCAACACCGGGCACCCCTGGTACAGCTGGTGCAGGGGCCAGGGGCACCAGGGACACTGGGGTGCCCACCCCCCAAAAGGAATCCTCCAGAAGAGCATCAGTCACCTGCCTGAACCCCCACAAGCATGTCTGGCACCACAGAGCACCCCCCAGCCCCACGGTACCCCAGAACCCCAGCAGGGTGGGAATAGATGGGGGGAGCAAGGGGGCAGCAAGAGGGGGCAGAGATGGGTGGGCAGAGATGGTGCAGCAATAGGAGAGTGTTGGGGAAATGATGGGGAACAGAGATGGGGCAGTGATGGAAGGAGTGATGAGGGGCAGAGATGGGGTGAGTGATGGGAGGAGTGATAGAGGGATGAGATGGGGCAGAGATGTGGGAGTGTTCGGGGGCAGAGATGGGGGGAGTGTTGGGGGAGCGATGGTGGGCAGCAGGAGTGCATCCCCCCCAGCCATGGCCCCGCACCCCCAGCCCGCAACGGGGTCACGGCCGCGCCGGCGGCTCCCACCGGGAAGTGCCGCGTCAGCGCCCGCCGCCCGCCGTGATCCAACGCGATGTGACAGCGGGGCCATCGCCAGCATCCCGCCGCTGCCCCGCGCCGGGCAGGGCGCCGGCACCCCTCTGCACTCACCGGGGAGGAGCCCCTCGCCCTCCGCTCCGCGCCGCCAGCCCCCCGCACCGGCCCCGCAGCTCCGCGTCCCGCCGGCGTCGCACCTCGGGGGGGGCAGGGGGGCATCGGCTGCCGGCACGCGGCCCTGGGGGCACCCCCCCCGCAGTCCAGTGCACGCCCCGTGCCCCTCACCCCTCCGGCCCACGGCGCACTCGGGCAGCCCGGCGGGGAGCAGCCCCCCAAATCTGGGGCGGGCAGCGGCTCCTGGCCAAGGGCCCGGCACTGCCCTCCCGGTGCCAGCACCGGTGCCGGTGCCAGTGCCGGGGTCTGGCGAGGCCGCAGGGCTCCCCGTGTCCAGCGGAACAAAGCCGCGGCTGTTTGCGGAGGGCACCGCGGCCAGAGACCGGCTCTTAATGAGGCCGGGGCCGGCGGGGGTCCCGGCACTGGCGTGGGTCCCGGTGCCGGCGGGTGTCCCGGGCTCGGACGGTTCTCACCATAAATCAACCTCGCAGCAGCCCCGGCTCTGCGGGAGCAGACACGGCCCTGGATCCCCCCGCTGGGCCTGCGGCACCGCTGCGGCTGCCGGGCGCCACGACTCTCCCGGGGTCCATCCCATCCCAATTCTCCCGGACTCCATCTCCACCCTCGCCGAGTCCATCCCCACCCTCGCCGGGGTCCATCTCCACCCTCGCCGAGTCCATCCCCACCCTCGCCGGACTCCATCTCCACCCTCGCCGAGTCCATCCCCACCCTCGCCGGGGTCCATCTCCACCCTCGCCGAGTCCATCCCCACCCTCGCCGGGGTCCATCTCCCCCCTCGCCGGGGTCCATCCCCACCCCCGTCGGGCTCCGTTCCAGCCCGACCCCGGCTCGGTGGCTCGCTGCGGTGCCAGGCCCCGCGGTGGCTCTCTGCCCGCTGCGGTGACACAGGGGCCGGTGGCCGCCAGCAGCCCCGTGACCGGCATCCGCCGGCGCCCGTTACTCACGCCCCAGCGCCCCGACTCTGCGGCGCGGCGTGGTAACACGG